GATTAAGAGTATCATCGAGATGCTCCTTGAACTCAAAAAAGACAACTTACAGTGAGTTCTCAGAATAAGTCTTTGTATCCAGGATTACACTCTTGGTGCAGCAGAATGTAATCTGTTTCAAGATTTCAAGCTACGTCAGCTGTTTCAAATTTTACAGATTAATATTCAAGTTTTGTTTTAATTAATTTAATTAAGAAGGGAATGAAACAGATTTACACCTACATCTAAGGAGTCCTTCAGTGCTTTGACACCATCACGGACTCAAATCTACAGAAATAAAATACACTTCATTGGTGGTTTTTAATGAGACTGAAAATTCCCCATTATCAACAGGCAGAGGAATTTCTTTCTTGGAGAGCATTGGGGGGCATTAATGATTCCAAACACTGAACAAATTCAGAAGTAAACCACTCAGCTACTCTGTGTTTTTTTCACCTCAGCAGTTATTTTCGTTATTTGCCCACCCTGCTTTGAAAGCAGAATGAGAGAGATTACAGGAAAAAACACATCTTAAACTAAATTAACTGGATCCAGCATTTTGGAATTTTTAGTTCTTGGATTCTAACAGCATGAACAGAAGGGTCTGTAAAAGAAAACTCTGTTTGTCTTTCAAAGGTTTACACAAAGATAATCAATTAAATTTTACATTACAAAGCAAGCTTCCAAGAGCCTATAGTTCTGCAAGTTCAAACATAAAATGCATAGTAGATCCTGAAAATCGGAGTGTAAACCTAGAGCTAAAGTGAAGCACAATGATCACAATATTGTACTTTCAGAGTCTCATCTGAATAAAGAAGCCTATCCATTCTCCCCAGGTCTCAAGCAGAATCTTATCTATTTAGCACAACAGACTAACAAATAATCATCTTACCCAAGCTCCTTAAAAATTTTGGGAATTTCCTCTTCAAATTTTGAGTCAGGCAGTTCATAAGAAGGGCAGAGAAACCCATAGATAAAAGTGAAGATTTTTAAAAAGTCCTTAACTGATGGAGACTGTAGCGATTTCATGGAAACATTATGGGCATAACCATTCTCAACCAGAAACTACAAAAAAAGAAACATGGCATATTAGTCACTAAATAGAACCTGAAGTTGAAACCAAGGAAGTAAGTATTTTTATTAGCATATTCTATGACTAAACATTCAGAATAAGTTAATATGTTACCTCACAAAGCTGCTTGATACATTGTTGGATGAATGCCTTATCTTGGAGTGGCCTGGGATCCTTTATCTTTTCTGTACCGAACACACCGTACTGACTGTTGCGTGACCCTCCAGTCACACTAGCTCTAAGGATAAACAGTAAATACAGAACAATAAATATAAAAGAGAAACTCTCTTAATGTTTAAGTCACTAAAATTGCTATTTTTATGTTTCCTTTGCATTTTTTATGCAAAGTGATACCTGAAGGTCTCTGTATTTAAGATGATTGGAAAAACATCATCAACTTGGAAACCACAATGCACATGCATAACAAAGGGATTACTGAATCCTAGATGAATATTTTCCTCATTTTTTTGAAAGGAATAAATTTTTTGGAGCAAAAAATACTCCAAAGATGAAGATAAAATGATGTAGGTGGCTGAAAATAAAGACTAAAATATTTAAGAAATATTTAAAAAGAATAGACCCCTGCAACAATGGGGTCCTATGAAAGAAGACACCTGCAAGACATCCAAACACAGAAAATTGTGAACTAAGCAGAAAGATTATAGAATTTTAGAAGGTTTGTATCTTAGAGAAAAGAAACCAAGGCAGAGTGTACTGGAGATGTCATTCTTCCTTGAACAGGAAAGTGTATTGAGGTGTCGTGCATATCATTCCCAAGAGAAAAAACAGCTCCCAAAGCAATTCTTACTCCACAGCATTATTGCTTAGTGACTAAAGAGTGGAGGAAGGCAGACCTGAAGGTCTCCTGGCCTCAGATAATTATTCCCTATAGTGAAAAATCTGTCAAGATAAAAAAATGACAAAATTATGTGGGAGCATTATTGTTTTAATTTACAGAGCAGAGAATGAAAGTTATCAATACCTTTTCCCAAAAATGCTTATTTTTCTTTCTGAAGTTGCAGATGTAGGTCTGCTCATGCTCAGCTTCCCAACGGCACCTTTGTCCATCCTGAGGAATAGTGAGGAGGATTCAAGTGACTATTTCTACCATCTCACCTTTTGCTCATACAAGAACTATAAACACACTCGTATAAGCCTAAGCACCTTTATCGCACAGCATCTTAGAAAAGTCAACCAATTTTAATGCATTATTTGTCCATTATCAAAACTACTTCTGCAAGAAGATTTATAGAGCACACATTTTCTATACAGAGGCACCAAGCCACCACTTAACAAGCATGTTAGAAAATATGTTACCATTTGAAATGTGTCACAGGTACACAAAAAGATTAAAGGAAGTCTTTTTGCAGAACTGCAACACTTGTGCAAACATCCTTGGTTGCAAGGAACTTTCTTCTCACTGTTTCCATTTTTTTCCCCAGTTACTACTCACACATGCAAATACACTACAGTAAATCTCTTCAGAATTAGTTTTATGTAGCTATTCTTGGCAATATGATCAGCAACACTTACATCTGAGGTGTTTGAAGACCCATCTTGTTGTTGTCCTGCACTCTCAGTGCCATCATAGATTGCCGACCGCTGCTTCTAGCGATCTTTGAGCTTCGTCTCATTGTGACTGAACTGTAAATCACAATCCCTCAGTATCAGAAAATCCAGGATCTAAGAGTATTTGTCTTTTTAAACTCCACAATGATTTTCTGAAGGATCAGAATAAGCAAGTAGAACTGTACGTTGGATCAAACAGTGTTTCCAGAAATACTGAATTCTCTTTAAAAAAAAAGAAAAAAAGTGATTATGTTTGTGGGGCGAAGTTGCAGCCCGACAATTGAAGTTTGAGAAGTTTGAGGTATTGCAAAAGTTAGGCCGTGTTCCATGGGAACGGTGGAGCTAATTAGATAGTTTCCATGGACACAGCCTTGAGTTGCAAAGAGTACAAGGTTGAAGCTGTTTGGTAATGTGCAGGTGCTGAATTCCTGGATGTCTTTGTGAGAATATGTTTATGTTGTGTGTGTGGGAAAGTAGAGGTTAGCGATCTCAATAAAGGCTGCCTGCTGCGCTGAGCAGGCAGACATCTCTGTCTCATCACCCTACTGTGTCTCGTGACTTCATTGTGTGTCGTGCGTCTTTCTTCCCCCACGGACCAAGACCTGACGACAGTTACCCTACGACATATGTTAGACTCCAGAAATACATAGCAGCAGCCACAGTCTTTTAAATCAATTATTTTATTGATGAAAGTGTCAGTGCTTGTTCTAAACCTACTATTTTGCCTTTTTTTATATCTGGGCATTTCTAACCTACAAGTTCCACAATCAAAAAGGCTTGAGAAATTTTTCAGTTCAGTCAGCTACACTACCATGACTACTGTTTCCAGTTCTTCAGCCCTTCATCTACTCCTGAACTGCTAATTCTGAGCCTGCTTATTCATTTTGCAAAAGATCTTGCAGTATCATAGCATAATAACTGGAAAACCTATTCTGAAATAATATTATGGCTCTCTTCAGACTACACACACAAAATATAAATCTAACTGGAATATTAATACCACCATCCCCAAAGTGACATTAAGTGGGAATCTGAAGTAAATAGAACTAACTCTGGAAAAAAACTGCCAACTTTCACCCTCTAGAGAGGATCTATTTTATTTGTGGGACGGCCTTAAGTGACTGAATTATAACTAATCAAAAAAACCTCCACTACAAACATTACCAAAACACATTATCAACATAAACTGTGTTTCATTTCGCTTCTAGTTCCACTGCTCACAAACCATGGTAGAGGTTTAGCTCAGGTCCAGTTCATATGGTAGTGTATCCATGACTTCACTGTCTCTGGGGAAGAAGCTGCATTATTCAATCACTTTAACAGGGACCCAACCGCAGACAGATTGTTTTCACAAATACACCAAGTGACTAGTTTCCCAAATCACAGACTCAATGAGGTTGGAAAAGACCTTTGAGATCACCAAGTCCAGCCTATCAACTAGACCATCCTGTCAACTAGACCACAGCACTAAGTGCCACATCCAGTCTTTTTTTGAACACCTCTAGGGATGGTGACTCCACCACCTCTCTGGGCAACCCCTTCCAGTGTCTAGTCTGTGAAGAAATTCCTCCTGGTGTTCAACCTAAATCTCCCTCAGCACAGCTTGAGGCCGTGCCCTCTCCTCCTGTCGCTGGTTGCCTGGGACAAGAGCCCGACCCCACCTGCCTATGATCTCTTTTCAGGCAGTTGTAGAGAGGGATAAGGACCCCGCAAGCCGCCTTTTCTCCTGGCTAAACAACCCCACCTTCCTCAGCCGCTCCTCATCAGAACTGTGCTCCATACCCTTCACCAGCTTCGTTGCCCGTCTCTGGACTCGCTTCGGCACCTCAACGTCCTTCCTGAATTGAGGGGCCCAGAACTGGACACAGCACTAAAGGTGCGGCCTCATCGGTGCCGAGTACAGAGGAACAACCGCTTCTCTAGTCCTGCTGGCCACACTATTCCTAATACAACCCAGGATGCCAGAAGAGCAGAGTTTGAGCAGAGATTTAAGAGCAGAATTTGCTGCAGCCAACACGCCAGCAGGGAATAAAAGGGGAGGGAGCGCCCAGCTCCCCCGCTCACCCTGACCGTCTAAACCGTACCGAAGACAACCAGGGCAGCCAGCGCGGTACTCGCCACCGCCTCACGGACACCGGCCCCGGGGCGTTGTTGTTGCTGCCGCCCTCCCGCCTCCCCTCAGAGGGAAAAGCCCGCACCGCGGAGAGCCCCGTCCCAGCCGTTACCTCCGGCACCGCCGCCTTCCTCCTCCTCTGCTCAAATTCAAATCCGCCCGCCCACTACGTCACGCAGCGGCTCGTCACAAGGAATTGCGTCACGGCGGAGCAGGGGGATAGGGGGAGAAGGGAGGCGAGGGGAGGATCTTGGGAAGGGCCCAGGGGAAGGGCCATGGCCGTACAGCACGATGGCGGCGCCCACGGTGAGAGTGTGAGGTGCTGCCGTGCCAGGGCGAGCTCCGGGGCTTTTTTCCAGGCGCAGCGAGTTCTTCTGTGGAAAAACCTCAGCTTTCTGCCTTTGTGTGCCCCCGGGGGCGGGCATCGGCGCCGGGCCTCAGCAGCGCTGGTGCCGCCGCTGCCTCTGTGCCTGTGTTACTGCTCCCGAGCGCTGTATGTGTGGGTATGTGTATATGTGTGTGTATATAGCATACATATCCGTGTGTCCATATGTGTATATGTGTGCTGTGTATGTATATATGCCCTAGTCACATAGTCATAGACATGATCACAGTGCCACAGTGTTTTTTTCCGACTTGTTGAAGGAACTGTCTTAGAGTAAACGCATGCTGCATAAAAGTGTAAAAACTTATGTAAAACTTGCTTACTATTAAAAAAAAACATTATAGGGATGAAGCTAAAATAGGGATGCACAGGGAAAACAACTGAAGTCAGAAGGTTCTACAGCGTGTCCTTGCGCATGTGGAAATGTCTGCCTGAAGGTATGTTCTACTTTATTAAAACAGTGATAGTTCTGAAAAGCAATTTCTTATAAAAATCCCCACAGGAGGAGTTTACTCCAGGAAATGTGTGTAGTTGATAAAAGCTGCAGTTTCAGGAAGTTGATTTTTCCTCCTGAAAAGGGAAGTTATGATGTCCGTGGTACATCGTATGACTGCGGGATGGCTTGTGGATCATCTCTCTTTCATCAACCAGTATGGCTATGAGATCTGTGACTCCTTTTTATGCCCTGGTGGTGTCACTCTCAATACTTCTGTCACATCTACTGAAGACTGTCATGGTTCTTCTACCTTTGTTGCCACCTCCTCATCAAGCAGTGGTCCTACTCATAGCCCTGAGGATGCCATAGAAACAGAAGGTAAAACAGCAAAAATGAGATATGTGTTTCGAGAGGAGTTCTTTGACATTTCTAAGCCCCGTATAGTTGCGCGTCCTGAGGAGCAGCTACGTCAGGGGTGCCCTGAGATGAGTCTGACAGAAATAAAGGTCAACAGTAACAGAGAGGAACGCCAGGAAGGAACAAAGAGTGGTGTTGAAGATTCTGTTGCCAGTGCTAGGAAGGTATGTTCTCTGTCATACAGTAAACTACAGTAATCCTGTGATAAATAATTTACAATTAACATTGTTTTGCATACCTGAGTCTTCTGAGGTTGTGCAGAAGAGCAGGAACTTTTCCATCATGTATTTTCAAGATGCGAAGAAGCTGTAAGCACTTATGAGGATATTCTTGTGTTTTGTATGTCAGTAATGTGCATTTTGTGACTCAAAAGCTCACAAAATCTTCTGACATTGGTCGTAGTCAGGCACTTGAGCTCCAACTGTGGTTGCTGTCAAGATTGTGCATATTAGCATGATGGAAAGGAGAATAGGAATTAACTTTCAATATTGTTCAGTACTGTTTCTTATGGACAAAAGAAATAAGAATTGTAGGTCTAAAACAACAAATGTAATCAATGAAATGTAGTTAATTTTCTTTTATTGGTAAACTGCACTTGGCAGCTGAAACTTCTAGTGTGGGCCCAAAGGAAGCATGAGCACCAATTGTGGCATGCACTGGGTATCTTCAGATCCCAGTGGCATGAGTAACATAACACAGCTTTAAGTGTATGTACCTTGAGAATACCTACCGCAGCCTAGATCTTTTTGCTTATTTGACTTGTATTTGTGATGGAAAAAGAAAGAGATGTAAAGTTTTTTCTGCTTTTAAAAGAGTTAATTTGTAATTCAGGTATGTTTGATTTTTTTTTTCCTTTCCTCCCAGAGTAATATGGATTTTTTTTTTTCATTGCTTGCTCATTCTGCAGAAACGTAAAAGGAAATGTTTATTCAACCAAGGTGAACTGGATGCTTTGGAATACCATTCAAAGGTAAGTTGGAAAAAAAGTATATTTTGCAAGTACATGATACCTGATAGGCACGTACAGAGTGCAGGGCATGGTTGCAAACAAATTCGGTTCCTGTAGCTTGTTCCACTAGTGGGAAACTCAGTCTCTCCAGTCTTAAGTGAAAAGTGCTTACAGAGAAGATCTTCTTTGTAGATAGCATGTGAAATTGCATTTGAGATATTTCAAAGAGCTGGAAACTGCATTGGCGAAGTATCTTTTACTGTTGTGGATAACTAAATATTATACTGTGATGAGTTGAATATTAGTTGGTTAGGAAGTGACTGATTTAAAATAGACCGTAACCTTTTCTGAAGATCAGCTCATCTTTAGTGTATCAAGGCACTGTGCTGAAGTTATTCAAAGCTTCTTTGACCAAATGTGCTCCAAAATATCTCATTCTCCAAATGAGAAAGATTTTTTTTTTTTTCCCTCTGACATTTTATATTGTCATACTAAAGCATTATGAATGAATTGGAATTCAAGTCTATAGGCTTACGTCAGTAATGTACTGATGAAGTTACAACTGAATTACACTGAAACATTTTTGGTGAATATGTAAAAAGACACAGTTTGGAAAAACCTGTGATCCTGGTTAGCTTCTGATACCATTCACAGATTAGGAAGTATTGGGTTTTTACTGTATTTGTGTTGTTAAAGGTTATAGCTCTGCAAGTCAACTCAGATTATTTTGTGATTGTACTGTGCATCAGTTGTTTCTCTTGGGTGGTATTTCTCTCTCTCCCTGTTTTTAATAATCATAATAATTAATTTTGTTTCAGTTATTAAACTGATCTTATCTCAGCCCAAGGTTTTGGGTTTTTTTAACTCTATTCTCCTGCCCACCACGGAGTGGGGTTTGTGGAGTGTGAGTGAACAGCTGAGTGGTACTTGGTTGCCAGCTGGTGTTAGACCATGACACACAGCCTTATCATCATGCCCTTGTAGCTTTTGAGCCAATGTTCTCTGTAACTGGCAAGGATCATTTTCCCTGCCTGCAGACTGAAGAATGTTTTGATTTCGGTTACATTCTCTGATCAAGTAGATTACTTGAAAGATCATTTCTTTTTTCCCTTGTTTCTTTATGACTATACAGGTCAGGAAGCTGATTTGGGAAGGCACTTTTCATTTAGTCCAGGAAGGACTCAAAAGTGGTTTTCTTCACCAAAGGACGGCAGAACTCAGTTGCAGGAAGAATAATGTTCCTGTTGTCTGTGGGTTGGCTGAATTATGTGAAATGGCAAAGCAGTTTCCAGCTGTGAATGAAGGTGACCATCGGGCTGTATATGTGCTAGAGGATGAAACCTCCAGTCCAGAGCAGGACCTGCTTTCGTGTGTTGCAGAAAACACCTCAAACCATGCAAAGATAATTGTGTTAATGGGGCAGAAGTACTTGGTGCCACCAAAAAGCAGCTTCCTTTTGTCTGATATTTCATGTTTACAGCCCCTGCTGAACTGTAAGTATTTACAGTTAGAATTTAAATACAGTTAGAGTTTAAATACAGTTAGTATTTACAGTGTTAGAATTTACTCCTTCTCTCCTGCCTGAAAAGAGCAGTTAACCTCAAGATGAATAGGAGCTCAATGAACAGATTTTAGTATACAGTATCACACTGATAGGAAATGCTGCTGCAGGCTTTTAAAGTGGTATTTCTAACTTTCTGCAAATAGTTGAGGGTTTTCAAAGGAATCTTGAGCGGTTAGGAGATCGTGTCATGGGGGTATTGTTTGTCTCCATGAGACTCTTTTAAAAATTTCAACCAAAATACAACAGTTTGTGAGCATGTTCTGAGCCACTGTCAGCTTAGAAGTCATGTAAATGCATTAGGTGGGGACTAGCTATGCTGCTGGATCCCTGTCCCACAGGATGAGGCTTTAACATAGCTAAGTCCATGCTGCTGCTAGGGTGGTGGTCCTGCTGAACTGATTTTTAGCTAGATTAAACCATGGGAGAGGGATAAGATTGCACACCTTAAAACACATGTTCCCTTACAGACTCACGCTATGCAGTGGCAGGGTCTTTTTTAGATTGGCGTAAACTGATTGTGGAACAAAGCCCAGTGTCCCACAGGGAAGATAACAGTTGGAGAGGCTGCTGCACCCAACTGGAAGGGAGCACCACTTTAGCCAGACCAGGAGTAGCAAGCATGACTTGATGTCTCAGCTGCTACATTTCACAGCTGAGAGTATTGGCTTAAGCCAAATTCAGTGACTGGGAAATGGTGGGATTTTATAATAACTTCTCTGTAAAAGTGAATCAAAGCTTTAAGCTGACAGCACACACCAATCTTCACTGTGCTTCACCATTCCATCAGCTTTCAAATTGACTTTCATTATTATTATTATTACTATTTTTATTAATATCAGTAGCAGCTAAGCTTTGTCAGACAGTCTTACAGAAAAGATGTTGCCCGTGAGCAGGCCCCTGTTTTGGGTTTTTGTTTGTTTGTTCCTGTTTATTTTTTTAATAGGAAGACATGCAGGAGGTAGGATCTTATTATCCAAGAAGTCCACAATTTAGCCGGTTAGCTGTTTGCAGCTGTAGGAAAGAGGGAAGATCGTTCTCACTATGCAAAGCTATGCATATGAGAAAGCATGTTTGGATTCTTCAGGAGGTCAGACAGCAGTCCAAAAAATTTGAGCAAATTCTTTATTGAAATAAGCAACAGTGAATGTTAATATAACGCCAGTTATTAGATTTTGGTTTTTTGGAGGAAGTCTACTGTCCATTTTAATTTCTATTTTTCTTCTTCCCTTTCACCTGCAAAAAGAGAAATAATTCTTGCTGGTCAGTCCACTGTAAGGTTAATACATCCAATCCTAAGGGAAAAGATATAGTAAGCACATTTAATGAACATCAAATACTGATCTATTGTTCTTACCATCAGACTCAATGAAAGGACAAATATGTTCTCTGGAAAAAATAAAATTGGAGAGTCCTGTTTTTTCATGGATGTGCCCTATATATTCTCTCCTCCAACTGAAGTAAACTCAGCTTCTCCCATGAAAACTCTTTCAGTTCTCTTCTTCTTGTCCATTATTTACATTTCATACACTGGATTTAGCTATCTTGTCTCTCTTTACCTCCAGTAGCGCAAAACACAGGGCTTCCGTGAAGCTCTCTATGTCCCTGTTGGCCTGCTGAAAGATCAAACAGAACAGGAATCTTGTGTTCAGGGCTTCAGCTTTTCACTCAGCTGGGTGCCTTATTACTTAGTTTCTGGTAGGAAACTTGAAGAAATTTTCGTTTTTGAGACTTGCACTCTATAATTTTTTTTCTAAAAATCCTCAAGATGTTCAAAATTTCTTAGAGGGATCTGACACAGATCACATAAAAGTCCTCTCCTCAGGTAATCAGCCTAAAAATCTCTGAAGGGTATGATTATCTGAATTCTAAAAAGCATGCCAAAAGTCTTTTAACTTCTTATTTGAAAAGAACAGAAAAAATGTGCGGTTTTGCTGTATATCAGTTTTAACTCATAGACTTTTTAAAAGATGATTGACTGGCTTTTTTTTTTTTAAATTTCACTTGCCAGACAAGAAAAAATATGATGTAATTGTGATTGATCCACCATGGGAGAACAAGTCTGTTAAAAGGAGCAACAGGTAATTTTATAGTAAAATCAGACATTGTCATTGTAGCTTACAAAGGGTAATTAATATTTTAATGTGCTGATGTAATCCAAGACCAATATAATGTGATACTGCAGCTTAAACTTGCAAATGTTTTGGCATATGCTTACCTTCAAGTCTATGGAATGTCTTGGGGATTTCACTGAAAGGGCTTGGATACTTGGCATACAAAATATTTGCAAGAATAGATCTTAAATTACCTAGCCGGTGAGAGAATGTTAGTCTTTGAGAATTTCAAATAAACTCTAGTGTCAACTGTTTTGTAAGTCCCAGATCATGCAGATATTAATCTGTAATTAATAAGGTTACTTCACTGGCCATAAAGCTAGATAAATGTGTAAGTATTTCCAAAACTGAAAGCTGATTCAGAAGTGTTAGTGGTGGTGTTTATCTTGGTTGTGGGGTTTGTTTTTTTTTTGTCGTTGTTGTGGTTTTTGTTTTTTTTTAATTTGAGCCTTAGCTTGAGCTTCAGTCTAATGGGTAGAAGAAAGTGATAATGCAGCAGTAAAATCCTGAAGTACTGTAGTTTATGAAGTCATTAAATTAAATTTTTATGGGCTTCCTTCACTGCCGAGTAACATCAGACTTATGCCAGTGGAGCCCTCTTGGATTACCTTCATAGGATGGGAGCCCCTATGGATTACTATAAGTTGTATCCATGTGAAAGAAGGTCAGACAGGAAATAGGGCCTTACAACTTTCTAGACTAATAACTACTGTAGCTTTTGAAGCTTTTTATGAAGACATAGTTTGAAAATGCAGAGACTGATTAGTAGGCTTTCCTTTGAAAGCCTTACAGAAACCTATAGAAAATGAGTTATTGAACTCATTTCTCAGTGAGAAATTGAACTAATTCAAATGTCTTCTTGACAATGTATGGTACTCAGAGGAAAATTGCAGTTATTTACAAACACAAATTAGTCAGCAAGACCCTCTCTCCCTCATAAAAAGGCAAAAGGTGCAGGTGCTATCACTGCTCTTAATTACCCTGTTGACAGCTAATCATTTTGAAGCATTTCACATCTGAGTGAATCTTTTTGTCTTTAGACAGTCTAGTCCAGGAGGTATTTTTGATTTTATGTTTGTTTATATTGTTTCTCACTGTTGCATTGTATAGGGTCCTAGGTACCCACATGGTAGCTGTTGATTTCCAGTAGGCAAATGTCCTGATATTTTTGATGCTGTAATATGTAGGTTCCATGAATTACAACTTGCTAATAATGTAGAATAGCATCATGAGAGATTGGTAGAACAGGACAGAATCTGGAAAGCGTGCTGTATTTACTGATGTAGCGTTCAGTTAGCTCAGGAAAGTGCAGAATGGTTTGAATAAAGTAGAGAATTTCTACCATGACTAGTAATTAAAAAAAATGAGTAACTTCTGCAAATAATTGAAGAAATTATCTTTTATGACCTCTTAACTTGCCAGTCAAATTAGTGTTGCCCTTGCACTTGCAAAAGACTCACTTGTCATTTTCATTCAGAAGAGAGCTTATTATGAGAAGTGAATAATACTACGTTGCCTAAGAAGCTACTTTTAACTAAATGGCTTTGTTCTGTTTTAAAGATGAGAATATTGAATTACATATGATAGTTCTTGAATGAAATATGGGCTTTTAGACTTCATCAGAGTCACAACTGCCAATGCTTTATTTGGGGCAATAGTGGAAATATTTAGTTGAAGGTTCTGCTCAGTAAAACTTAAGTCCACGCACTAATGATTTTATATAAAATCTGTCAGCTTTGGCCACTGGGTGTCAGTCTTGAACTATTTTTATGACTTTGGTTGTCAAGAGAGAATTCTTGAAACGTCCTGTCCATGTAATTTCTTTATCCATTTGTGTTGCTTTGCGGTTTTTATATTTGGTGTATGCTAACTTGCTTTCTCACTGTATTGGTGTATAGGTACAGCCACTTGTCTCCATGGCAAATCAAGCAGATTCCTGTACCAACACTAGCTACTCCAAATTGTCTTGTAGTCACATGGGTGACTAATAGACAGAAGCACTTACATTTTGTTAAGGATGAACTCTATCCTCACTGGTCAGTGAAGACACTTGCTGAGTGGCACTGGGTAAAAGTAAGTTCTTAATTTGTTTTGTTTCTTTCTTGCAGACTGAGAGGACTTCCACTATGATGCCTTATATTCTTATAATTTGTCTATTTACTACCATGTACTTCTGTATTTGAAAGGTCTGGTATCATCACTATCCTTTCTTTTATAAAAGAAAATGTCTTGGGGAAAAATGAATATTAAAATCTTCCACTGTGTATCTTTAACTCTTTTGTGTCAGATTACTAGGGCTGGAGAATTTGTATTGCCTTTGGATTCTTTGCACAAAAAGCCCTATGAAGTTCTTGTACTGGGGAGAGTTCAAGGAGATGTAAAGGAAGCCTTAAGGTATGTCAGGACAATGGTAAATGTCTTTTTGAGGATGTTAAGATCCCCTTTGTATATGTCACTTGTTTAAAATACAGTATAATATCCCAAAATCTCGTGACATCATCTTTTGGCTGATTGTGGACCTAAAGATAGCCTTACTATCTTTAGGATATCTTTGGGATAAGGGTGTGCCTTAGTGAGATGAAAGAATGGAAATCTTTGCCTTTTCCTTACATCTGTCTGTGCTGGGGAACTGGCTTGGACAAAATTCTCATGGACAGGGCTTCCTTTGCTGACATGTTCTCTTGGACCGTGAGTCCTTGGCACAGGCTGATGCCATTTTGGGGATGCTGCTGTTTTTCTGCTCATGAAGAGATATAGGACTGTGTTTGTTCTCAATGGCTTTGTGTGACTGTTCTTAACCAAATTGTGTCTAAAGCCTCAATGAGTTCATAAACTGTCCTTTTATATGTCTGAGCACCTTTTAACTTCCCTTGCACCTACCTGAAGTTTGACTGTGAATGAGTGTTCTGTGTGTTACCTCTCATCTGAAGTAGCTCTGTGAGAGCCTCAGCACCACACTGGGTGGCATTCATTCTCATACTTCTTTTCTTGTTCTTTATACGACAGGAAATCTGAAGGTGTACTTCCAATTCCAGAGCATAAGTTAATTGTCAGCATACCCTGCACTCTGCATTCACATAAACCTCCTCTTACTGGTACGTTTTGGTTTTGTTGCATAATGTTTCTGTAGTGCAGTGGACTTGGATATCTCATTCTAGGATGTACCTGGAAGTGCCTTAATTTCCCATATATGAAGCAATTTTGCTCAACAGAACTTGTGGTTCCTCAACATTTCTAAAAGTGTTGTGGGGCATGTAAGTCTTGGTCTCTAAAAATGAAAGTGAAAACTAGAACTTTCAGCATTATTGTGTGAATATTTTGGGTAAATGTGTAAAAAAAGTTGCCTTTTTCAATATTTGTCTATTAAATAGTGCACAAACAGTTTACAGATACTTCATGTATGAAGTTATGACAAATGATCTAAAATAATTTGTGGGGAGAAAACTTTGGGAATATATAAAATAGGATGTCTTCTACTTAGTTAATAAAAGCAGAAAACTCTTCCTTTATTATGTCATCTTGAAGGAAAAGTTTTCATTTCTGCGTGAATTGCCTGCAATAAAATTATGCCTTTAAATCCAAAAGCGTAATTATTTTAAGACTGCTAATAATAGGCAATAAATAGGCAGGCCCTACTTATTTCTGAGAAGCTGTATTTAATTTACTGAAATTGATGCAGTAACTCCAGCCAGTTAATGTGGGTATAAATCCAACTTTTTGGAGTTTAGTCCAAAGAATTTGAAGACTTCCGTGTGATATGTTGCTACGTATTGCATGTTGTTCTGGAGTACTCTGACTAATTTTGTCAATAGGAAGTTGTACTTCTTTCACCTTGCAAGGCTATGGTAAGAAGTGCATTTAATACATTTCACAAAAATGGTTTCATCCTCCCACAGGAGTGAAGCTCATGATGAATCTGCAAATATTGCAGGTGCACGTGGTGCTACGTAGTCACATCAGAAAAGGCAGGCAGAAGAAATGTTTAATGCTGTTGAAGGGGAGAGGTGTCACAGTTTGCTTCACTGACATGCTTTCTTTTTTCCGTTCCCGAGGAATAGAACAGCTTCAGTTAGGACACTGATCTGGAAAATTGTTGTATGTTCAGGGGCACTGTAAAATTTATTTTTGGGATCTTGTATTTATTAAATTAACATGTATATACCTGTTCAAAAACTAGTGGAAGGGACATACTTCAGTTAGCTAAAACAGAAAAGAAGAAAGGCAATTCTAGGAGGATCTTTTTGATTCTGAAGCCACATCTTTAAGAATTAAGACTAGAGCAGGAACTATATGTGTTGATTTAAGATTAATGAATAGTAGGGTGGTGATTTGTGAGGCTGTCACCTAGGGCCTCTTCAGCAAACCAATACTTAGCAGCAAACTCAGACGCAAACAGGAAACTTGTGAGGTATCTGAGGGTGCAGAACAACAGTTTGTGTGTATTGCAGGAAATTCTATTGCCGGAATAGTCTGTGGAACAATTGTTTTGTAGGGCAGAATCTAGAAACTGTATTTGGGATTCCTTTATAAATTATGATCCTGAATGGATTTTAAAAGAAACTGTTTGTGCTAATTTTTTGTGTGTTTCTTGAGGTTTTTACTTGAATGCTAGGATTTGATAATATTGTGCGGCATTTATATTTCTCTCTGAAAAAATAAATTTGCTGTGGAGCAAATATCAATGATTTACAAGGGGTCTATAAAAATCCACGTGTATCCTACATTTTTTGACATCTTCATTCAGAATACAGTTATGTAATGAAAAGGTAGACCATAAGGCAAAAGCTAAGTGCTGATGCTTTGACTTCAGTGCTGTGCAAGGTGTTGCTTTTACAACCGGACAGTACTCTTGAGCGGCCAGTAGAGAGCAGCTAAGCTACATCCTAGAGGGTTTCAGAAGAAATTTGAACAGAAGCAGAGATTTGGCAAGGGTTGAGAAGGACACTTGATGAGTCACATGCATTCTTTATGCTTTGTTTAAGTGGTAACAAAGCCAAAAATATTAGTATTTACTGATGGTGTCTGGCACTTTGTTTCTTATTACAACAATAACGGTTGTATGTTGGTGCATATGTAACCACTTAATGACTGATTATAACAGTTTATCTCTCCTGGGGGAAGAGAAAGATGTAAATTAAAGTAAGCCGTCAAAAAGACGTGTTTGTGCTCCTACAGTGCATTTAACCATGAAATTGCAACTGTAGGGGTTTTTGGTGATGCATGTGCTGTGTTCGATGCTTAGAGCTTTAATATGTCATTGTAAATGTACTTAAGCTGCTTTATGCAAATGTGTTAAAATCAAATTTTATTACTCCAGGTTTCGATTCAAATAACAGCAGGTTTTCTTCCTAATTCAATTCAATGTTGCTCTTACAAGGCATAAAAGACATTCTGTTACACAGATGGATGAAGTTCTACATAACTTTACATCACCTTTTTTCCTTTTCCTTTGTTATAGATTGTTCTTGTTACAGCCACTTCTCCTTCAGTTTTTAAGTATGTACATATATTGTTAGAAAATTATATTGTCATATAGGAATATGTCTAAAAACACTGGAAATAATTCTTGGCTGTGTTCTAGCCACTCTGCATATCCTCAGCAGAACAATACAATGGGAAGTCATGGAAACTCCCTCCTCTTGTAGCAAACCTGGCTTGTTAGGCTGTGTTACAAAAGTTTCCTTGGAACTAAAAAGAAATAAATGCCTTTTGTTTCCTTATGTGCCTTATGAGCCCTTACTATTAGACTAATTGATAGGTGCATCAACATCTGAGTTTAACTTGACGCTCAGGAGAGATGCAGATGTGTGAAGCCATCTTTGTGCTGAGTTTCAGATCTTTTTCTGGTGTTACTCGGTTCAGGGGTTAGACAAACTGGGCCATAAGAACCTCTGCATTGCGAACTCTTTCGAAGGATTATTCTAAAATGAGCTCAGTTGTGTACCTTGTGCTTTGCATGGCTCATTGATGAGGCAGTGAAAAGCTGACGGTCATTTTCACTTTATGTATCCAATTTGTCAGTGCAGAACTTGCCTTTTAGGCAGTGGAAGTCCAAAACATAAGGGGAAACTGTTGCTTGTTTCAAAAATCATTTCTCTTTTTTCTTACTTAAACGTTTTTAGCAGCATGCATCTTCAATACATGTTTGGGATTCAGAGTAAGCAGGTATGGCAGATGTCTGCTGGATTGCACTTCAGAATGAAGAGGGTTTTCTGGAAGTCCAGTGTTATGTCTACCAGCTAGCTTTGTGCTAGCATCATGTCATGCCCAAATATAAGTGCCTGAGTTGCTGTCATAGTGTTTGTGACATCTGTAAGCGATAAAGAATAGGCTGTTTATCATTTATTTGAGCTGTTTCTTTTCAGTGGTATCTGTAAGTGGATAGAAGTAATTGTGTGGTGGATTTTGTTTTTCAATTTATTCCTGTGGTAGAAGAACTTAGTATTTAATCTTTCTGCTGATATAGCTCCTCTAACCTGTTTTCAGAGGAAAAAAACTCCAGGGTTTGCTTGTGGGCTGCAAGTCCGATGCCTGTGTGTTAAGTTAGCCTTCCAGTCTTAAAAAGGTCTAACAAAAAAGCCATAATTTGTAACTTGAACACTGACTTTTCTTATTTTAAGGAAACCAATGTAATGAGATTTTAAGCCAACAAAATGGAGCCCTCTTGATATGGTAATTTTCACTGCAGTGCAAGTTACTGCCTGATGTGATTATGTAAATGCCTACAACCTAGCAATGAAAAATCATACTATAATGTGATCTCGAATTATATGTAATATGTCTCTCTTTTTTAAAAAAAAGCCTCTAACTTTAAAAAGATCCTCTCACTGGCAGAAGGAGAGGGGGAGATTCCTGGGACTTCCTTTTTAAATTCTATAACCAAATTGATAGAAATACTGTGACATGCCTCCCGCTTCTGCTGAACTGATCAGGTTTTTGGCTACCTGCTTTTTGCTGAACCAGTCTCTGAAGTTGGTTGAATGTCCAATGTGTGCTTTTCAAATTTGTCCTTTTAGGCATGGAAGTTTTTGGTGCTTGTTAAAACTGCTTTTGATTGCTGAACTTAGTGCTGTGATATTTTTTTAACCTATGCATTTTAAGATCTACCACCCTGGGTAATCTGGTCCAGTGTTTCAGCACCCTCATTGTAAACAATTTCTTCCTTACATCTAGTCTGAATCAATCCTATTTTAGTTTAAAACCATTACCCCTTGTCCTGTTGCTGCAGGCGCTGTTAAAAAGTTTGTCCACATCTTTCTTAGAGGCCCCCTTTAAGCATTGAAAGGCCACAATAAGGTCTCCCCAGAGCCTTCTCTTCTCCAGGATGAACAACCCCAACTCTTTCAGCTTGTCCTCCTAGCAGAGGTGCTTGAGCTCTCTCATCATGTTGACAGCAAATGATGCACAAGAAATCCTTATCTAAATGGAGCTGGAAGAAGAACAGTAAACTTTACCACTTTTTTCTTTTATTATGGTGGGTTTGCAGGATGGTATAAAAACAGCTACTCATAAGTGGTGTCTAATTAGATGAACTCCCATGACACCAAACAGTACAGCAAGTTTTCTGTCAGAATGTACATTTTCCTCTAAACTTCCCAGACTTCTCTGCAAATGTTAGATTTGTTTAAGCATTTTAACTTGTCTCTAAAAGAAGCAGGTTTTTGGAATAAGATTCCTGCTCGTAGCAGTATTTTTTAGGTTAAAAGCTGCCTTGATGATAACCCATCTGAGACATTCATGTGACATTTGTTAAAGATTGGGAGAAGGAGAATAGATTTTTGTGCCAAACCAAAATACAAGAGAGCCTGGAAACATCCATTACAGAATATTTACGAAAAGGTTTTGAATATATTAAAGAGGTGATCATATAGGTAGGAAATGCATCTGGGCTTGGCTAACAATAGAAAGCAAAGTAGATGTTCATCTTTTCTGCAACAGGAGCAATCCATGATCTGATCAGCTGGGGTCTCACACAGGCAGTATGTGACAGGCAAACTTCCTACAAAGAGTCAGAACTTGGATTGCACCAAATAAACCAAGAAAAAGCATTCCCTCTCATACTTTGGTGTATGCTGATTGGATGTGTATGCTGATATGATCTGCAGTGATCATACCTGAAGAGACTGAGTCAAGCAGCATACTGTTGGATTAATGAGTTGTATTTTTAAGTGGCAGAGATTCAGAAATCACTGGGAGATCTAATAAAAAATCACCAAAATATCCTTTGGAAATGTTTTCATAACTTTTCTTCTTTTGTCTTCAGTAACAAAACCAAAAACTTAACATATAATTTTTAGTATAGATAAGGTTTTTAAGATTTTTTTGGTCTTTCTGCCTTCTCTGTGTTCTGTACTCCTTAAACCTTTGCTTTTGTCATGCATATTTTTATATGCAGTAACTTTGTGAAACCTAGTTAAGGATTTGTTTGAACCAGCCACAGACTAAATGGCTCTGTATGACAAGTAAAACATTTAGCAATAAACTCTTTGCGATAATACTTTTCAAGCAAAATGCAAGGTCTTTTTCTGTCACTCCAAGAATACCATTCATAATCTGTGACATTTACATCATTAATGTTAATGACAGGCATCTATTTATTTGGATTTAAGCAGTAAAAATGCCCAACTGTAAAAGAAATATGAGATTTATGTTACTGAATAAAAGAACAGAGTTATATAAAGATCTCTTCTGTTGCCAAGTTGGTATTGGAGAAAAAGTAGTGCTTGCATTTTTATAGCCCTTTAGTGCTATGCTTGTTTAACTGGTGCCTCTTATTTTACCTCTTAACAGTCATCACAAAAATGCTTTTATCCCCTTTAAGGTGCAAAGGAAAAGAGTGTGATCTTAATAAGAAAAGGGGTTATTTATTTATTTATTTTTAGAAATGTTACCCCTGTGTTATAGGAGCTAAGTTAGTCTTTAGGAGCTGTTTGTTGATATTAGTAAAAAATTCAGAACTCGTCTATGTAGAGGCTGAAATAAATCCTCATTCCTTTTCTCTAAATGAAAACCAATAAATCAAGGCTATTGAAGGCCTTGACAGTATTGTTCAGAATCTCAAGGGCACTTATTTAAAATTACTTTCTCACTATAAATAGTCCAGCTGTTTGATGAAACCCCTGAAATTAATTTGCTGTCTCTCCCTTTTTTAATGAAACATTCATTTTTTCATCCACTAGCATCACAGGGGAGGTTTTATGTGTTCACTGTTGTTATTTGTACCATTGTCACTGTTGTTTTCTTTTTTTTTTTTCTCTTACACAGCAGTTCTGGCAGAGTTTATCAAGCCAGATGTGGAATGCTTGGAGCTGTTTGCTCGCAACCTCCAGCCTGGCTGGACCAGCTGGGGAAACGAGGTCCTGAAGTTTCAGCACATTGATTATTTCACTCTTTTGCAGAAGGAAAACTGAGCTGGGCCTTACACATCTATATCTTCTGAAATTCTGTGCCTTCCCAGGGTGTCTTGAACTTGTCTTTATTACTAATGGTTCCCTTAAAGGTGACAGAAATAAAACTAATTGCATTTCAGTTAAAATTCTTGAAGTGACAGGATGTCTGTTTAATATCTCCGTTTGTACATGGTGGTCCTTATTTTGATGACCTGAAAATATTTAAATACTGATGTTGGAATGCAAGTTCATCCCCATTTTTTTTTTTCAAACCTCAAGAAAAGAAAGATATCCTAAAGTATTCTCACTGCAGCTATTAAATCTGAGCTAATAACACGTCACAAGTGCTGTATTGTAGCACTTGTGTTATTTTTAAAGAATGACAGTGACTCTTTAAGGAGTGTCAGTGGGAGTAAACAGTTCTGAATTATGCATGTTTTCTTAAAGAAGATTGGTTTTTTGCAAAACAATGGATTTTGAGCTAAAATAGTTATGAAGGCAGTGTATCCTCCCACATGTTTGTATCTGTCTGTCTATCTCAGAGAAAATAAAAGGAGCAGTGCTTGTGTTAGTTGGCACATGAATTTTTGTCTCACCACATTCTATGTAAAATTATACTTTTACAACAGCTGGCAATTATCTTTCTGTATATGGTGTTAATTTTTGAACACATTGAGAATGATCAGTCTCAATGTCTTATGAATTCTGACCTTTTAACAGATTATATGTATTTTTAAAATTATCCTTCCTTATGTTCTTGGAACATTAAAAAGCCATGCCAGTGAGCTGTATTTTTCAGCTAACATAAAGATGACTCTTCTTTTTTTTGTTGTTGTTGTTAAAAGAATGGTACACTTTGTGTGTCCTTTGCTGTGCTTAGATTTGATTTGAAAAATAAAAAAGAAAATGTAATGAAGCCTCTGTCATTGACTCATTTGCAGCACTAGAGGCTGAAGTGCTGGACCAGCTGGCTTTCTTGATGGCAAGCTCCTGAGTCCTGACTGTTTATAGTGGGGAACAAAATGCATTGCATACCTTCTTTACCTTAATTTTCCTTTTGCAAGTCTGATGACCTGTGAAGACTTTTTTAAATTAACCTTTAAATGTTATGAGATTATTTTTTGTTAATTTTGTAATAAAAATGAAAATAAAACCTTGTATGTTATTTGCAGACCCAGTTCCTATATTACTGTTCAATTTCATGTTTTGTCTGTTGGAGCAGTGGAGTTAACAAAGCAAGGAATATGCTTTTTTTTCCCCCTCCCTCCTCCAGCAGTTAAACATATACTTGAAATAAGTAAATAATGTAATACTGAAAGTAGTTACCAGGGAAAACATTTCTTGCTGCATGATTTTATTTAGTCTGTGTTTTAAACTGTCAGTACCTAAGCAACCTTACCTACAGCTGTAAGGGATAGAAAGTTATTTATTTGCTTTCAGTTTTACAAGATCTTCCCTACCTTCAGATTCTGCAATCCCAGCTAGAATTCCCTTGCTCTCCCAAGCTGGTCTCATCTAGTACTAAATGAGTGTATCAGACTCAAACATGGAATAAATCATAACTGTTGCAGGTATATTGTTTTCCCTTTGTACTCTATAAACAGCACAAGAAATGACAATATTGTCTGTTCCACATCTGCTGCTGGGAATGACTCTAGATTATCTTATAATTGCAAATGAAGGAAAGAGATCAACAATCTTAGAGATCAGGAAACTCCCTTTCTCCTTGCAGCTTTGCAGCAGAACCCTATTAAGGGAATTACCTTCTTCAAGCTGTTTAAAAATCGATGATATTTTTAATCTGTCCTTTCTGTGGAGTCCCTTTGCAAATTGTGGCTTTCTGGAATCAGTAAGGTTGGAAAAGACCTCTGAGATCACTGAGTCCAACTCAACCTGGCATCCCTGTGTTCACCACTAAACTAGAAGCTGAGTGGCTAATTCCAGCAACTGGGCATTCAGCCTCCCAGTATGGTTTGTATGTAGAGGACTTGTGCAGCCAGACTCTGAGCTTCTCAGACTGCAAGTCAAAAGTTGAAGATTGGAGTTTAAGTCATACTGAGTCCTGTCATAAACAGTTACAAAATTGTGCCTCGGACAGCTGCTCTGCTGCTTTTCCACTGCTCTGCCTATGAAGAAGACCTTGTGAAAAGGGCAGAAGTGGTGTTCTTACATCTGCAGCCAACCATTGCATTTTCTCAGGAGGAGAAAGTCTGTTGCTAACTTGGAAATCTCATGGTGGTATTAGCAATTGATAGTTTTGGGGTCATCTTTTAAAACATTATTATGGGCCCATTATACTTAATTCATAATTTAAGTAGCCTCTTACACTTTTCCAGCTGTCCAAAACCCCAGCCGTTCCTAACCAGCCATCAGATCTTTCAGTGTCTGTGAAATGATTCCTCTGAGGCAGAATCTGCAGCATCCTGAAAAAGTGAATGAAGCCAGCTAATACGACAGGACAATTTAAGATCCAATTTTTTCTTTTATAAAATGTTATCTATAATAATAATAATATCTGTAATATTATAGCATAGATAATATTATTACTTTATTCCACTTTAGTGGTGGAAAGATGCCCTTTGTTGTGTCAAGCCTTGTATAAAAAAGAAGACCTGCTCTGAAGAATTTACAAAGTTGGTAAGAAATGAAAGAACAAAGGAGAAGATAGGGATGTGGGAATGCAGGATAGTAATGAGATGTTAAAGTGTATGTGATAAGTAGCAGCCTAGGTATTCTGTACCTAGGTACAGATATACCTAGGTATTCTGTACTGAAAATAGGGTTTTCCCCCCTATTTTAAAAGAGATTTTCTGCTTTTCTATTCTGGTATCATGTATTCCAAGAAAAATAGGTGAAGTGTGTATTTTACTAACAACATTGATGAAATAGAAGTTTTTTTCATCTGTAAATTCTTTTTGTGGCAACTTCAGGTGAAGTTACAACTGCAATTGCTCAAGAATTTTCAGAAAGTATGTTATTTGGTACATCTGTTGTTATTTTAGCAGGACAATGATAGAAGTTGCTTTGGCTAGGTGTTCTCCACTATTTAAAGCCTTTTAAAATTATGTCTTACTGCAAAAGAATCTCAGTTCATAATGCAAAAAGAAGTGATTTTAAGCTGCTCCTATATGTAGAGTACATCAAGTGTCATAATCAAACTTACTTTTATGAAGCTTCAGGTTTGAGTGTGATTTTGAAATGTCAAATTAGCATATGACCTTTACTTGTATTTTTAAACTTCTGTGAAGTAAAAAGAATTATACCAGTAAGATATGTTTTTGGAATAGTAATTGCTAGGCATGAACTCCCATGGAATAGTGATTTCTAGGCATGAACTCCTGTGGAAACAACAAAATTTCTTTTGCAAGAGTAAACATTATTAAAAAAGTGAAGTAAGTGAGTAGCTCTTACCTCTTTATAGCATTCAGCTTGGATAGGTGTCAGCAGCAGTAAAGAGTTGACTTTGAAAATAGATTTTCAAGCTGCATAAACAACTGTAAAATTATGGGAGGTAAATGCTACTATACCTTGAGAATCCTGTTCATTAGCCTCAACATGCTATTTAAGATTTAGCTAATGTTTATTTGGTTTGGACATAACAGAAAGGGAATGGAAGGCTAGAGAATAGCCAAGGAATGAGGAATGGTCAAGTTGCTGAAAGAAGTCTTGTGGTGTCCCACCTGTGACGTATTTTCATAGAATCAGAGAATAGTTTGATTTGGAAGGGACCTTTACAGGTCATCTAGTCCAACCCGCCTGCAATGAGCAGGGACATCTTCAACTTGATCAGGTTGCTCAGAGCCCCATCCAACCTGACCTTGAATGTGTCCAGGGATGAGACATCTACCACCTCTCTTGGCAACCTGTTCCCGCGTTTCACCACCCTTACTGTAAAAAGTTTGTTCCTTGTATCTAGTCTAAATCTACACTCTTTTAGTTTAAAACCTTTACGTCTTGTCCTATTGCAACAGGTCCTGCTAAAAAAGTCTGTACGCATCTTTTTTTATAAGCATCCTCTATGTACTGCAAGGCTGCAGTAAGGTCTCCCTAGAGCCTTCTCTCCTCCTAGTTGAGTAATCCCAGCTCTCTCAGCCTTTCCTCACAGGAGAGATGTTCCATCCTGATTATCTTGTGGCCCTCTTCTGGACTCACTCCAACAGGTCCATGTCTTTCCTGTGCTGGGGACCCCAGAGCTGGCCACAGCACTCCAGGCAGGGTCTCATGAGAGCAGAGTAGAGGAGGAGAATGGAGCTGCTGGCCACGCTTCTGCTGGTGCAGCCCAAGATGTGATTGTCCATCTGGGCTTCGAAAAGACATTGTTGAGTCATGCCCAGCCTCTCATCCACCAGCACCCCCAAGTCCTTCTTGGCAGGGTTGCTCTTGATCTGTTCATCCCCAGCCTGTATTGTTGCTGGAGATCGCCCCAGCCCAGGTGCAGCATCTTGCGCTTAGCCTCGTTGAATCTCATGAGGGTCCCATGGGCCCAATTCTTAAGCTTTTCCATGTCCCTGTGGATGGCATCACATCTACTGGACATGTCAACCACACCACACAGCTTGGTGTCACTGTAAACTTGTGGAGGCTGCACTCGATCCCACTGTATGTGTCAGTAATGAAGATATTAAACAGTGCTATTAAACATTTTCTGAGTGATCTGACAGTCTAGATCTTGCTTGACTTTACAATATTTGCCACAGTAACATATTTAGGTTGTAATGACTAGGAGTATCCTAGTGCAGCAGCACATTGCTGTCCCATGCTTTTCAGTCCCCATCTGTGTGGGGATTGCTTTTTGCGGAGAACACAGCTATGGAAAGGAGCTGCTGTTTCACAGAGCCGATGTCTAGACTACAAGACCTAAAAAA